ACAGACTGTGAGATCATGACCTGAGCCGAAGTCGGACGCCCAACTGACTGAGCCACTCAGGCACCCCGAGTGCTGAAAAAATATTAAAAATAAGTTCTGAGATTGACTTATTGAAGAACAATTAAAAAGTCTCATGATTAGCACAAATTGGGAAATTTTAATAAAGATTAATAATACTGAAGTGATTGCAGATGTCAGAGCAAGAAATATAGATCCCAAGGATGTTAAATTTTGTTATCTTTTGTTTTAATTTTTATTTATTTATTTATTTTTAAGTAATCTCTACACCCAACATGGTGCTCTGATTCAGGACCCTGAGATCAAGAGTCACTTGCTCTTTCAAATGAGCCAGCCAGGAGCCCCTCCGGGATATTAAGTGTTTTCATTTCAGTTCATATAGAAATGCTAGTGTCTTTACCAAAAAGTAATAAAAGAGTAGTCTTCCTTTTGGTCACATTCTTGTAACTACAAACATGAAGACTTTAGGTGAAGGGGTTTTATTAAAAGTTAATGTAACACTGGAATAAGTATGGTATTCGGGTCCTGTATGAGTCTTTTGACTCTACTACTTTACAAATATAGTCCCAGGAACTGGCTTTCTATCTCTTTCTTAGAATTAAAATGATTAACTGACTTGCCAGTTTTACAAATAGCTATAAGTATATTAAGTTTGGGGCAGTGAATTAGAGAAGTTTTGCGTGCTTTGGTTAAAGTGCGAAACAGTAGTTCCCAATTGAATTAATTATTAGTCCATGTGTTAACTTACCAGATAAGTAGTAAATGGGCTTGGGGTAGACAGAGGGGAGAGGAAATGATTAGGGAGAGAAGCCCCCAGTAATGGAGAAGGGGAGCAACTAAGTCTGATGTTCACTGTTTGCGTAGGGTAGGTTCTCAGCAAATAATTGTGGAAGGAAGAAAGGAGGAAAAGAAGGCAGGGAGGAAGGAAGGGAATTATTGAATGGTACATACAAAGAAAGTGGAATAAATGCCTAATTGAATTCTGCTTCATGACAGGGTTATACCATAATATTTCTCTATGCTGTACCTGCCTTGACGACACTTAAAGATGTATAATTCTCAGAAGTTACGAGACCCTTAAAAAAGGAAACATATAAAAATTAGATTTGGAGGAAATGGAAATCTATGCAAATCTAAATTTTTAGATTTTTCTGAAGATATTTTTACAAGTCTAAATTCAGTGTTACATTTGGAACATCATAATGGATTGAAATTGTTTTTTATTTTTAAAACAAATTACTGAGGGGGCTACAAACTGACATCAAATATCACTTGGCTTTGGCCAATTGAGGAGAAAACAGCAAAAAGTTGGAAAGAGAAGAAACCATAAACATTACAGTAAAAACAAATGAAACTAGAAAGTTGTATATATTTTTCTAGACTTACTGATTTTATAAGGACTTTGTTTTCAGAAAACAATTTAGGGGTTGGGGGGAAAGGGAGAAAAAAGTAAGCCAAATTCATGCATTGCACCTTTTTTCCAGGCACCTACATTTTTGTCTAGTGAGTGGATGCCCTCGCATTTGCTAGTTTCCCTGCTTTCTGGGCTCCCCCATCTCCAGGGGCCCTCCATCTGGACATGTTTCCTGACACAGAACTTGTTGGGGCTGCAGAGCCCCAATCCAGAGGAGTCTGATAAACTCCCTACCTCAGTTCATGTTCTGGGAAGCGTGTTCTTTCTGATGGTGTTCCCAAGCTATGGGAGAGAGAAAAAAGGATGCATATGTGAACTTAGGGATGCTAAGTTCTGCTTTACATTTTAAATCTATAGATCTTTCCTTCAACGAGTGGCAGGCCACTCTTAATTCCTGCCCTTCTCCCCCAGTGATCCAAGGAACTTTGCTCTTTGCCCAAAATACCTCTCTCTCCCAAAACAATTTCCCCTCCTCTGAGAAATGCTGTCGTGTCAGGCTGCACTGCCCTTGAACCAGACAACTTTCTCTGCTTGTCTTTATCTGTCTAAATAAAGCTAACCTACATTTGCTGTCTAATTCATTCGGATGCTTGCTGATGCTATTTAAAGCATCCCTTAAGGCTCCGTGGAAAACAAGATGCATTATCTCCAGTAGAGAACCTTTAGGTTTGTTGGTCATTTAAGGAATTTAAGAATCTAAAGAATCCATTCAGTCTTTAGTAGTTCAGATTTAAAGGACAAACAAACTCTTCCATGTTTTTTATTCTAGGCAGTCTTCCCTGACTTGTATGATGCTGGGTTCAGCTGATAGAAAAAGAGGTAGCTAGAAAGTTAGTCTATCTCTCTCTCCATGCCCCCCACCACTGTGTGTGTGTGTGTGTGTGTGTGTGTGTGTGTGTGTCCTGTCCCTAGACTTCATGAAATCCACCTTTTCTGAAGATTAATTTCACAACAGAATATATTTTTCATCCCGGACTCTGATAATTGTTTAGTCCACTATGAATTAACTTTCTCCTCTCAGGGAGCAAATGTGAAAGATCAAAAGAAGTTGTCACCTTTGGAGCGCCTGGGTGGCTCACTCAGTTAAGTGACCAACTTGGGCTCAGGTCATGATCCTGTGGTTCATGTATTTGAGCCCCGCATTGGGTTCAGAGCCTGGAACTGCTTTGGATTCTGTGCACCCTCACCCACTCATTCTCTCTCTCTCTCTCTCTCTCTCAAAAATAAATTTTAAAAAATATTCAAAAAATTTGGAAAAAAAAAGCTGTCACCTTAGTAAACAGGCTTGGGGTAAGTTTTTGGCTTGTCTCTACTTCCTGCTCTTCAGCCTCCATCTGACATTTCATTAGAGAATCCTGGTACTTTCACATTCCAGAAAAAAAAAAGGAAATTCTAAACAAGGAAAGGAACAGAATATTGGTGTTGTAAATAGGACTCTACTGCACATTTCTATATGACTGGGAGTTCAGAGAGGTTCCAAATCTGTTGCTCGTTTTTTTCAGATCTGGTATTATATTATGTCAGTCTGCTGGTCTGCTTAGTGGGAGAGCGAGCTGGTACAAGGGAACAGTTTTAACCATTAGTGCCCCGCTGCTCCCTGAAGCACATGTTTTTATCAGCATCCACTTGTTCAGCTACGATTCAATGACGTCCATTGCAGAGAGTGAGTCAGAAGCCACAAGCTAACAGGTCTATTCCTTCCCACTGTCACCTAGGAAACCAACGCATCATCCACAGGAAATGCAGGCCCCAATGGGGGGTGTGCCCAGATCGGGTTATAAAGCTGGCAATGAGTTTTTCAAAAGAGGTCAAATAATAATGCGTAGAATCTCAGTCTAGCCTGGAAAGTGGATCCAACCTCTGTGGCATGGATGGAGGACAGTCATGCAGAAATACCAGGAGAAATTAATCAGCTAAAATCATGGAAGATGTCTGCTTTATAAGAAATTGACCAAGGGCAAGGGTTACGGAGACATGGTTTGGTTTCTCCCCCACAGCACATACATTTATTTGCCCACTGAGTGGTTGAGTAGTTTTTTTGTTTTGTTTTGTTTTGGGTTTCGGCACGTTTGGATGATGTGTGAAATGAGATGAGGAAATTGACAAAATATCAAACCAGGCTTTCTGCTGAGTGAAATGTGTATTCTCTGTTTCACGGTCATTCTCCCTTGGGCTAAAAAAAGCGATGGATGGAGTATTCCTTCAGAGAAAACCACACCCTGATTCCCCTCATGCTCTCACTGCTTGTTTTATTTTATTATTATTATTATTTTTTTTGCCCATGTGTTATTTTTTTCCCTCCTTGACCATTATAGTTTGGCATAGCCCATTGGCCTTAGTGTATGTATACAACTTACCACACGTTATCCACGTATCTGTGAATGGAAGCTGAGAAAAATTACCTGTACAGTTTCATGTTGTTTTTATGAGCTTAATGTTTCCAGGCAAGTTTACACTCTCATACTGCTATAGGTGAAGGATTTTATATAAAAAGGTACATACAATGTGAGCTCTCTCAGAACTTCCTATTTTAGACTCAAAAAATATTAAGATGGGTGGGATGGGGAGGAAATAATTCAGAAACCATCTGCTCCAACCACCTATTTTTCAATGAGAAATTAGTCCTAGAGAAGAAGTGAAGTTATTTGTTTAAGGTAATATAATAAAATATGGTGTAATGTGGGGTGCGGAGGAAAGGAAAGAGAAGAGGTAGGAAGGTTAACCACAAGCTCAAAATGAGTTAACAGGTGATATGACCACCTTTAAGACTGTTAAAATATTAAGCTGTTTTAATTGAAGTATGGAGTCCTGACTAGGAGGGGGAACTGGTACCCTTCCGGGCTGGTCAGTGTTGCCAAGAGTATGGCATTCTGTTCTGAGTACCCATTGAATGGGGAACAATGATGAACCCAAAAGTGTCCAGAAAGGGGTAAAGATGGTGATAAGAGTTTTAGTGACCATAACACAATAAGAACAATTAAAAACATTAGGCTGTTTAGTTTGGAGACCAGAGGTTTGTCATGAAGGGAATGAGAGGAGGTATAAAATAATTGAAGGGCTGCCTTGAAAAGGGTTCAGACTTAATTTTGAGTGACAGGGAAGGGCAGTCACAAATGAGTACAAGTTAAAGGTAATGGGTTTTAGCTCCTTATCAGTAATTTTTCAATAACGTCAGCTGATTGCAATGTATTAAACGGACCAATAGGGCAGTGAATTAATTCTTTATCTCCAGAGGTGTTCAAATATTCACTCATTTATCCAGACACATTTATTGAGCAACTGACATATGCCAGTCTTTGGACTAGAGGGGCTTTGAGGTTGTTGTCTGTGCAAATTAAGGTAATATTTGCTGCAGTATTTTAAGTTTTTTGTAATGTTTTATTTATTTTTGAGAGAGAGACACAGAGTGTGAGTGGAGAAGAGGCAGAGAGAGAGGGAGACACAGATGTGAGGCAGGCTCCAGGCTCTGAGCTGTTCAGCACAGAGCCTGATGCAGGGTTTGAACTCACGAACCACAAGCTCATGACCTAAGCCAAAGTCGGATACTTAACCTACTGAGACACCCATGTGTCCCTTATTTACTGCAGTATTAATTCTATATCAAACTTAAGACATCATGGGAAATTTATTTCTCACTCATAAAACATCTAAAACGGGTACTCATGGTGGGTGGCTCTCTTCCAAGTGTTGTTCAAGGAACCAGGTCCTTCCATCTTGTAATTATACCACCTTCAGCATGTGACTTATGCGGTCACTTTAAACGTTGACATCCTGCTGACAGGGAAAGAACATGGAGGATTGTGTGGAGAGATCCTCACAAGTTGGACCTAGAAGTGATGCACATAAGTTCTGCTCACATATTTTCTATTCAGTCGAATTCAGTCAGATGGCCACACCCAACAGCAAGAGAGGCTTCTAATGCAGTCCTGTGCCGAAGAAAAAGAGGAACAGGTTTGATGACCCAGCAAAGGTTTTATCACAGCATCCAGCTCTAGGCTTCTATAATTATGGTGACAGAACTGACACAGGAATTTTAAAACTTTCTTGCTTAATGCCAATGTCATCATGTCTCTTGTTTACGTTAAATATCTTCCTATTGAAGGTCTTCTGTTGAAGATATATCGTTTAGTTTAAAAAAGCAAAGTAGAGAACAATGTATATAGTATGCTACATTTGTGAATGAAAAGAGGAATCACAGTGATAATATTTATTTGTATCTGCTTGCATACATTCAAAGAAACATTGGAAGAATACGAAGAAACCATAGGAAGTAGGGTGGGGCCAGAGAGAGGATGGATTGATCACTGGGAGCAAGACTTGTCCATGTATGCCTTTAAGTATTGTTAATAAAAATTTTAAATAACAATAATAAATATTGTTACTAATATCACTTAATTAATTATAAAACTATGTAATTAAAAAAACAATTTCTGGGGCACCTGTCTGGCTCAGTCAGTAGAGCATGTGACTCTGGATCTCAGAGTCATGAGTTCCAGCCCCATGGTAGGCATGGAGCCTGCTTAAAAATAAGTAAGTAAATAAGTAAATAAAACAAAAAACCATTTTTTTCTATTGGAGAAGAGTTTTTCACTGATGGATCTCTTTTTGTTTTCAAGTAAAAAAAAGCTTGAGTAAAGGACTCTCTGGGAAGGCAAGCAGGGCATAACTTATGAGCCTGAAGTAACAGTAGTGATGAATATAGTGCCTTTCTTGTTATAATGCACCTATACCGGATTAATTAGATTTTTGAAAAGAAAGTAAAAGAATAATAATGCAACAACTTGGTTTTATGTAGAACTATTGAAGAGTCTCAGAGTACTTTTATATCTGACATCATTGTTTATTTTTGTAACATTCCTAATAACCATGATACAAAAGATTTAAATTAATTTCTTGTTTTGTAAGATACTGTCAGAGCCAAGGACAGAAGTTCAATTACCTACAAATTCATTTTAGACTTGTAGGCCAATAAATCTCAATTTCTGGGTAGTATCAACACTGGAAGCATATGATAAAAATCCTTTATGTTTGACAGCATTTTTACAAATAATTTCATATTTGGTTTCCTCATTGGCCTTGTGAATTAATTGTGACTGGTATTATCTTTAGAGATGAAAAACAAAGGTGGCCACTATAAATAAAGTTAAAAGTCCAATAAAAAATTGAGGAAAGAGGTATGCCTCCCTAATACACAAAGAGCTATTACAAGTCAATAATTAAAAGGTAAATATTTCAATAGAAAATTTCACAAAAGACGTGCATTAAAATAATAGAAAGAGGTCTCAATGACAACCCAATAAATAAATATTTTAAAATACCCTAAAAAATGAGTGGAAATAAAATAGTATCTAGTACTGACAAAGGAACATGGAAATAGGAACACTGACAAATTTCTGGAAGAGTTATCAGATGGCAAAACTTTTCTGAAGGAAAATTTGGAAATATATTAAAACTCTAAAGATGTTCATAACATTATGACCTAGTAACTTCATTCTGCTAATTTATCCCAATGAAATATTCAGAAAAACATAATAATTTATGTCAAATTATATAAATATCAGCATTCTTACTAGTTCAGCAAAGGGTGGATCAAATGACATAGTAAGGAAGTGAAATACCAACCTGTCACAGGAAACCATATTAAAGAATTAAGTAAGGGCGCCTGGGTGGCTCAGTCAGTTAAGTGTCCGACTTTGGCTCAGGTCATGATCTCGCAGTTCGTGGGTTCAAGCCCCATGTCGGGCTCTGTGCTGACAGCCAGCTCAGGGCCTGAAGCCTGTTTTGGATTCTGTGTCTCCCTCTCTCTCTGACCCTCCCCTGCTCATGGTATCTTTCTCTCTCTCTCTCAGAAATAAATAAAACATTAAAAAAATTTTTTTAATTAAAAAATTTTTAAAAAAAGAATTAACTAAAGGCTAAAGGAAAATCCTACAACCCATTAAATCTAAAAAATGATTTAAAAAAATACAGAGACACGTTACATACACATTTTTTGCACCTTACAAACAGGTGAATAGTGAAAGACTATTAGTAAGACAATACTGGCTAAGAGTGACTTTAGCTTAGAAAAACACATTTCCACCAAAAGGAAGTGCTATGGTCCTTCAAAGCTTCCAAACTAGGTAGCATTCTCATCTCCTAACGGATCTCTATTCTTCTGGGCTTCTTTATCCAAAATAGACCAGTTCATATACATTGAGAATTGGTCAGGGCAGCCCTTGGGAGGCTGCACCAAGTATGACAAAGAACTCTTCAGCAGCTTCCATAGGGAATTTAATGTTGTGTTGATCTAAAAGATATTGAATCTATGGAACTGTTACAGTGTTCAGCAAAGGTGTCAGAATGGGGACTTTTACCACACCTGGCTTTTAAGTGCTTGTGACAGGAGCACCTGGGTGGCTCAGTTGGGTAAACATCTGACTCGATTTTGGCTCAGATTATGATCTTATGATCTCTCAGTTCACAGGATCAAGCCCTACATCAGGCTGACAGCACAGATCCTCAAAATAAGTTAATTTTTTAAAATGTGCTTATATATATTTTTAGCCCTTACCTGAATTAATATTTGGATTACAGTTGACCCTTGAATTATGGCTTTGAACCACTTACAAAAAGCAGAGTTTTTTGATAAATACAATACAGTACTGTAAGTGTGTTTTCTCTTCCTTATGATTTTCTTTCTTTTTCTTTCTCTTTCTTTCTTTCTTTCTTTCTCTCTTTCTCTCTTTCTCTCTTTCTCTCTTTCCTTCTTTCCTTCCTTCCTTCCTTCCTTCCTTCCTTCCTTCCTTTCAAGAGAAAGCATGCATGCACACAAACAAAGGGAGAAGGAGAGAGAGAATCTCAAGAGGCTACAGCGCAGAGCCCAATGCAGGGCTTAAACTCATGAACTGTGAGATCATGACCTGAACCAAACTCAAGGGTAGGATGCCTAACTAACTGAGCCACCCAGGTGTCCCACCTCTTCTGATTTTCTTAATAACATTTTCCTTTCTTTAGCTTATTTTATTTGTAAGAATACAGTATATAATATATATAACATACAAAATATGTGTTAATTGACTGCGTATGTTACCAGTAAGGCTTCCAGTCAACAGAGTCAACAGTAGGCTATTAGTAGTTATGTTTTGGGGAATACACAGATTTTTTAGTGTAGAGGAGGGGCTGCGCTGTTCAAGAGTCAACTGTATAGGCACTAAAGTTGATGTCAGTTCTCTAATCTCACACTCCAGATTACTTCCATTTCTTGAATTACTTTTCCTCGTTTCTTACTGACTACTGTTCACTGCATAGACCCTGCCAGGATTTTTCACATGTTTTGAATCTCTCTTTGTCTTTCAGAATCACCTCTATTAACTAATGATCCAATCCCTTACCCACATGCAACACTGGTGAGTTTTCTTACCACATTCGATTTGTGACTAGCTTTTATTTTCTTCATAATCCCAAACCTCTCCTCAATAGCACATTCAACACTCTCATTGCTTTTGTGATTATCAGACATACTGAGGTTAATAATGTTGCCAAGCACCCCAAATTAAATAGAGCAAACCTGCTGATAAAAGAAAATTACTTGACCATTGCTAAAACAACGGTGTCCCAATTGCTGTTGCTGTTTGCTGGGGCCAGGCAAAGTTGAAACACTTTTGCTTTTGGAACAATTTATTTTTCATCTCCTTGAAAGTTCACAGGTAAGCAAACTGCCAAAGAACCCCTGTCTTTTCCGCTGCCTCGGTGCTATTCTGGTGAAGTGCATTTGTGACCATAGTCATCAAATCACATATGAATATATAATTAACCGAAACTATTTTTAGAGAGCTTAGTTGGCTTGCTTGTCTTAATGAGGCTAAGGTTGTAGGGTTAATATCTGTGTGGGTTACTTAGCACATGGAGACAAACTGTGTCACCCAGGTAGTCATACCTACAACCAGCCATCTCACAAATGCATGCTCTTTAGGGGACCTACATACAGTGCGTCACTTGAGTACATATCACTTCAGTACAGTCCGTATAGGACAGTGAAGTTACCAACCTTCATAACAACATGTGACCTCAGGATCTTCAAACTCAGAACCTCAATTAGACATTAATAAGAGAGAAAGTGCCTTAGTCATATGTTCAGATTTTTAAAAATGCTGTCTATGAGCACAGGTTGCATCACAATGTTCTCCAAAAGTAAAATTCTAAAGAAAGTGGGGGCACCTGGGTGGCTCAGTTGGTTGAGCGTCCGACTTCATCTCAGGTCATGATCTCATGGTTTGTGGGTTCAAGCTCCGCATCAGGCTCTGTGCTGACAGCTCAGAGCCTGCAGCATGCTTCGGATTCTGTTGCTCTGTCCCTCAAAAATGAATGAAAACGTTAAAATAATAATAATAAAGTCAAAGGAGGCTTATTTTTCTAACTGAGGGCATTAGAAAAACAGTGGGTGGTACATGATTTACCTCTACGCCCCAGGGACCTGATGACAATGAATTGCTATGAGTTCGTGTTCTAAGATTTGCCACAGAGCAGGTCAGTGGCACTAGGGAATTTACACATTTGTCAAAGCACAGAAGGCTATAGATTCACAACTTGGTTTCTGGCTTCAGGTACAATTTTCTCCTTCTGTTTTCAGGATCCACTCCTCCTTCCGATGCCAGAGCTACAGGCAGTTCTCTAAATAACACCACGTCCCTGGCCACCCATCTCCCATTTGAACATTTCGGCAGAGCTCCTTTGAGGTCTGCCCTGCACCGCCTCCCATCTCCCAGGCTCAGCTTTGCTTGTCTGAGTCAGACGTGAGTCACCTCACTCAATAGCGGAACTCAGAATGCTTCTCCATCCCATGGATCCCTCTTGTCTCCCTTCTTTTAACTGGTTTCCCGGCAGCCTAAGGTCAATGGCCAACCTTGATGTTAAGGTTTGGGTCACTACTACGGCAGTCCGCTCAGTAAAGAGGTTGGCAGACAGCTAGTAGAATTAAAAATGGTGGTAATGTTGATGATAATGATAATGATGAACAGCTTCTTCAGAAGCACCTTAATGGCCAGATTTGGTGATTCTGCTCATAGGACAGCACAGGTGTCCTTAATCCTTGGTCTCTTCTTTCCCTCTTCACCATCACCCCCTCCATATACACAGGCCCATGTGGTACAAGGTAAAAGTTTATGGACTACATTCTCTGTGAAAGTCAGGTAAAAGAACAATATCCTGCATTGGTGGGCACCCTTTTCTCCAGAATTTTCAGATTTGTTATTCTCATTTTTACTCATTTGATTTTACATTCTCAGTAATTCCAGAAAGGGCATTGAGAAGGATTTGTGCCTTGTTGGTGCTTCCTGGGCATATAAAGAAGCCTAGTGAAATTGTATTAATAAGAAACTCTAAAGTTACTGTAGAAAATATCAATACCGAACTACTGTTATTAATTCATCAATCTTACTTAAAGCCCTTTGTTAAATGGTTAATACTTTAGTCAGCATGAATAGTTGACTAGTTTTTAGTAAGTTAGATGATTTACTTTAGAAGAGGACCCCAGAGATAGCCTGTCCAGTCTTTCATTTAATCAGCAGACACTTATTGAGCACCTACGATGAGGAAACCCTGAGCCAGGTCCCCAAGGGCAGTGTTTCTCAGGCTCCACTGTGCATGCATATCAACATCACCTGAGAAACTTGCTAAAATGCAGATTCTGGTTCAAGAAGTCTGGAGTGGGCACTAGAGGCTCTGCATCTCTGTAAGCTTCTTGAAGATGCTCATGAATGATACTTTGAGTAGCTAGACTCCAGGGACTCTGCACAGAGCCAGATGAACCTTGATTCTCTCTCCAAGGAATATTAGGGGATCCACAGGCTCTGAGAAGCTGCCCTGTGCATTCCTCCTCCAGAGCTGTGTTTATCCAGGAAGCCCAGACAATGCTGACCTATTCTTTCCAGTGCTCTTGGCTTTCTGACGTCTTCACTCCCAGTGGAGGGTATAAAAAGTTGCAGGATTCAGGCTTGGGATTAGGACATGGAAAAAGGCCCATTTATCTTCAACCTTGGCTATGAGGTCTAGTCCAGGCCACTTAGCAGAGAGCTCTGAACTCAGATTTTAGGCAGAGCCTTTCTTTGATTGCTACAGAGATCTGCTTTTAGGATTTGTTTGTTTATATCCTTTGCCAACTTTTCTGTTGAGGTCTTTGTCTTTTAATTATTGACTAATAGTTCTTTATTAAAATAAAGGGGAATTTCTTTCCCCCCAAAAAAAGTTGCTTGGGTTTTTTTGTTTGTTTGTTTTTTGTAGTCTTTTACTTTTGTCTATTAATTTTGGAATTAGGAATCTTGGACTCTAGTCTAATATTAATACATATCTCAGGAAACTGTTGAGAGCAAAAAGAAAGTACATGTGGGATAGTCCCCACAAATACAGAACGTGGGCACTTTGTTTTCAGGGCTTACATGAACTTGATAGTTTTATTAAACCTAGTGTGGGATACAGCTGACTCGTATACACAAGTACTAGTTTGGTTTTGGTTTATTTTGGTTTTAAACATTTATTAAGCACTTGCAAGTACTCTGTGTGCTGTTCTAGGTTTGGGTAGTATTAAAATACATGAAGTGAAATTAGAAGCTGCCTATTAAGAACTATAAATGCATAAAAGTGCCAGTGATTTCTGTTTTCCTTTGGCCTCAACTATCACTTTCTAAGTTGTCAACAGACAAGATCTTCTACCACTCCTCACATATCCGATTAAGTAAGTGCCTCAGTATTGAGGTAAATGACCTGGTTGTTCCTTGGTTTCTACATTGCTGTCTCCTCTTTATAAGAACCTTATACATGTTAAATTTATTTATTTAAAGATATTATTTTCTTTTACTTTTTAAAGTAGGTTCCATGCCCAATGTGGGGATCAAACTCATGACCTGAGATCAAGAATCACATGCTCTATTGACTGAGCCAGCTAGGTACCCCTAAAACTATTTATTTAAATAGTAGAAATTATGAGAGTAATGGTACTCCAGTTCAGACTGATAGGTTTTTGTCTAGCTTTGAGAAATAGAAAATTTGTATTTACTGCCCATCTGTGACATTTATGTTCTCTCCACTACTGACTGTTAAAAAGAAATATTTATATATTATATATTTATATATAATATGTATATAATATATAAAACTAACCATCAATAGTAAAAATAAAATATCTGAACACAACATGTTTTATCTCCAATTGGTATTTGCTTTTTAATAGAGTCAAAGGAAAGAAACTCTAATGGCAAAAATTTAACTATCATCCAGGTAGAGAACACTCCCTTACTCCCACTGGCTCCTCCGTTATTCTTCCTACACACTAACCTGCCTTATGGGTCCCTACACTGAGCACAGATAAAACAAAAAAAAGTCAATATTATTGAATCTCATCTATTTGCCAAGCACCGTGCTAAGTGCTTTCACATACATTCTCATCTAATGGATCTTTTGCTTTCTTACTGCAGAGGAGAAAATGAAATTGTGCCTTTGCTTTGCTACCTCCTCTTCCCAGAGTCCTTACTCCTCCCTTTCTGTGTAAGCCTTTACTGGTAGCAAAGGAACTCAGTTGAGGCAAAATCCATTCTTTTTTTCATCTTATCCAGGTCCACGGGAAAAATTGGTTGGTTTCTAATTTCTGGAAGATGAGGGAATGTGTTGATTTAGTTATGAATAAGTGAACAGAACACTGCTGAGGGCTGAATGCTCTCTAACACTATGCACCCAAATGGGTGGGCACCCACATCTGGTGAGAGATCTCTCGTTTTCTGGCTTCTTTCCCAGATAATCCTTGAACTTTCTGGGGAAGAGTATTCATATCCATATCCATTCAACTCCTCCTTTATCTATGAACACAGATCCCTTACCAATGTCCTCATCCTGCCCTGGCCTGTCCATCCTCCCTCCCCTCAAGTTCTCCTGAGAAACATGACAGATTGAATCTGTTCCTGAGATTATCTGCCACTTTCTCCTCTTACCATGATTCCAAATCTTGGATTCCACTAAGGAAAACATAGCCTGGGTGACATTGCATAACCAGCGAAAAAGGAATCTTCCCTGGGCAATGAAAGGAGGGCTGACTCACTATCTCAGCTCTTAGGAATGGCTCTCTAGCTGCTGACAGAAGCCACACGGGTTCAGCCACGAGGCCAACGGGGACCTCCCTAGTGACCAACAAAAAGGAGGCAACCAGGACTAGCCAGAGCTGAGCTGGGGCAACTGACCCATTTGTAGAGGTGTCTCCAAGGACAGTGGCTAGCAGTCCAAATTGCAATGTCCCGGCGGTATAGCAAATTCCTATCTGGTCCAATCTGGTGGAAGAATGGTGCCCAACCACAGAAGATTGTGGAAAAGGATGTACTTATAATCAGCACGTGTTGATATTTTTATTCCAGAGGCGTATTCTTCGTTCTTTCACTTATACAACGGGCATTTGAATGAATATTAGAGGCACTGAGCTAGGGCTTGGCACACTCACTACCCTTGCAGAATTGACAGTTCAGCAGAATAGCACAAAGGGAGTAAACCTAGGAGCTCTAGGAGAACTTGGGACAGGCACTTAAGATTTGAGAGTTGGGAAAACTTCCCTAAGAATGTGTGAAAGGCTTATACATAAGGAGGGAGGAAGGACCCTCCATGCGGAGGAGGCAGCAGTGAAATCACCAAGCAAGAGAGAACAGGGGGCTCATTGGAGGAGTAAAGTGTTCTGGTGTGGCTGAGGTAAGAAGAATGCAGGGGACGGGGCAAGAGTTGATCCTGGAGAGGTGAGCAGGGGCCAGATGATAAAGGTGTAATCTTGTGTGTCATGAGAGTTAAGTCTGAAATCCACCCTGAGGGCAATGGGAGATGCTGACTCTCTGTGGGGGAAGGACGTGTCAGGTCTGCTTTTTTAGGAAGTCTTCTCACTGGTTGGAATGTGGGGATTGAATGCAAGGAAAGTAAACATGGAAATAGGAGGACCGGGTTGGAGGGTTTTGCAGTAATTGAAGAAGGAAACGATGTGGGCCTGAACCCTTGTAAAGGCAACAGTGATGTAGAAAATGACAAGTTTGAAAGATACAAAGCAGTAGTACCAACTGACATTGGGGATCCATCACAGGCAGGGCCTGAA